CGGGAGCTCGGGGGCGAAGGCCCCCGGGAGAGCGAGCAGGTGCAGCTGGCACCAGCGGGGTTGCCCTTCCGGAGGTTGCTCCCCGCGGAGCGACGCGCAGCGCGGGGACAGGCCCGCGGAGCCCAGGTACCCCGGCCTTCTTCCCCATCCCGACCCTGTCTTCCTGCCGCTCTTCTTTCTGTGACGCTGTCCTTCTTTCCCGGGGCACTTGGCCTTCTCCCCACAGCTTCCAGACCCGCAGGAGCTGGGAGAGGAGAGCGTGCGCCTGCCAAGGCCCCCAACCCTGGCTCCATCGCCGGTCCGGGGTGTGCCAGCGGGCCCACCAGGTAACACAGTTCCCTCCCCCGGTGCCCCGAGCAAGGGTTAGCGCCACAGTCTGGAACCTTTTTTTTTTTTTTCTTTTTTGAGAGAATTTTGCTATAGGGCATGTGCGCTCACTGGAGAGAGAGAGAAAATGAGAAATTACCTCCGGGGGGGATGGCCACATTAGAACCCCTCTCCTCCATTCTCTCTTGGGATTTTGGGCACGCATTCACACGGCCCAGCATGAGTTTTAAGCCGCTGGGTCCGAGATTTGAACCGTGGTTGACTACATGGAAATCCAGTAACGTAACCATTATGCCATCTGCTGGTCCCAGAACCTTTTTTTTGGGAGAGATTTTCACTATAGGGCGCGTGCCAGACAGACAGAGACCTAGAGACAGAAAGCGAGAAATCACACACACACCCCCCCAGGGGGGATGGTCACGCCACAATCCCTTCTCCTCCATTCTCCTCTTGGGATCTTGGGCACGCACGCACACGCGCCCGGCGTGAGTTTAAGCCATCCGGGCTGGGACGCGAACCACGATCGACTACATGGGAGCCCAGCGACATAGCCATTACGCTAACTGCTGGTTCCTGGTCCCAGAACCTTTTAATTTTACACTTAAGGTCGGGTACGGAGCCCTTGACTACCTGTGAGCTGGGTGTGGAGGGTGGGGTTCCCTACTCGCAGCGGAAGGCTGGCTTATCACCTCTGGGTGCAAACTGGGTGAGAGGCCCATGGAGAAGGCACATGCCCCATTCCACAGGTGGGAAATGTAGTCTTGTTTTTTTTCCTCTTTTTTTTTTTGAGAGATTTTCACTGTAGGGCACGTGCGCTCGCCAGACAGACAGAGAGAGACATAGAGACAGAAAGCGAGAAATCACCCCCCAGGGGGGATGGTCACGCCGCAATCCCTTCTCCTCCATTCTCCTCTCGGGATCTTGGGCACGCACGCACACGTGGCCGGCATGAGTTTTAAGCCACCGGGTCCGGGACACGAACCGCGGTTGACTACGTGGGAGTCCAGCGACATAACCATTACGCTGACTGCTGGTTCCCGGGAAATGTAGTCTTGGGAGGCCAAAGACCTTGGGGCTGTGCCTGGAGTGTGGTCTGATGTGTCTCCAGGTCAGGCCCTCTTGGCCAGAAGGGACTCCGGCCCCCAGCCGAGGATCCTGTGACCAGAGGAAAAAGCTCGGAGGCACCCAGAAAGAACACAGCGAGCACTGGGGCACGGAGAGGTATGTGAACCGCGACAGGAGCGGGAGTCCTGGGCAGTGTAGGGGACCTGGCCTGAGGTCCGGGTGACCCTTCTGCCTCCTCCTTTGTCTTC